AGACATGTTTTGTTTTTACCTCTAGTGTTTTGTGTCAGACATGTTTTGTTTTTACTTCTAGTGTTTTATGTTCCTTTACTCGAAAATTTCTTAGACATCTATTTTCATTAAACTACAAATTCATAGCATTGTTGACGAAGTTGTGTTATTTCAATTAAAAAAATTCTTTGATTTACTTTTAAATTCATACCACCGACATAATTTTTTTTTTTTTTTTTTTCATTTTAAGATGAGATAAGCATGCATATGCATATACTAACGAGTCCAAATCGTTTAGACAGTCGAGTCATTACAACAAAAGAAATTCAAAAGTTTTCTCTTAAATGGCTTCCAACTACTACTTTTTCCAGCATTCAAATAAAATTGTGTCCTAAATTTGAGCTCGGATGAACCACAAATGGAGCCTTCAAATTTGTCCAGAAGTGATTTGTACGAGTCTTTTATTTTGTCTGTCGCTGCTGTCGCCATCTGAGTCGCTCAAAGTAAGTACTAAAAGATAACGTAGGCCTACCATGGGGGCCTCCACTCATAAAAGTGAAGAGGCCGCCCACAGGAATGGCATGCAACAGCTCACCCGGTTGATATCTGTTTCTCTCACCATCATTGTGATAGTGATATCCACTGTGAATGATTCCTTTACAATAACAAACCTCAAAACCATGTATGATATCTATAGTGGTAGATCATGATTGTGTATGCATTTAAAGTGATTTTTGTGCACGTTAGTGTTTTGGCCATGGTAGGGTGCATATACTTGTAGAGCTAAAATCTACCTAACTCTCCGCAAGGTTGTTAAGGCATCTTCTTGAATTGGATGACTAATTAACGGTGGGTTTTGACCCTCGATTAAAGTGTACCGAAATAAATTTAAGAGCACAAGTATCGAAATCAGTACTTAAAGCACACGTCATCTATTTTTCTTATATAGAAAGGAGTGAGTTTCATCTCATGATATTATGTTCGTAACTCTCTATTTGGTTAAGTCCCTAAAATGGGAAGTATATTGAATTGGCTAAAAGAGTTATTCTCGCCCATCCAAATTAATGGACAAGCCCTGATAGGTAAGTGTTTATAACTCACTCAGGATTATGATCGAGACGCATATGATCATCAAGTGAAATACTAATCTTCTCAATTAATGGATTTATAAAGAGAGATTAAATATTTCTTGATTCAGTCTTATACAAACTCATTGCATAGGATACCCCTCTCACATGTCTACACATGAACGATTTAGATCAAATCATTTGTAACGATTACAAAGTGGGTCGTATCAATAGTGTTACGAGGATAAGACACTCAATCTTGTCCATATACTATAGACCCTTTAGGTTATTACTTGAACACGGTTCTCTTGTATGTCAACCACATCTTTTTCAGAATTTCATACTCTTCAAGATTTCATTAATAACTTTGAATTTTCATACATAATAATAAGAATTATTGTTAAAAATAAATAATTAATTATCAGGTTTTAGGGCATAAATCCCAACAAGAATATCTAGCCGTTGTTATGTATTGTCATCTTTGGTTGGTCCCTAATCAACTCTATCTTCTTCCTAAGAAATTTTAATTCTGCAACATGCATTTCTTTTGCTCCTCTTGCGCAAGAACTTCGATCATCAGAATTGTATGTAGAAATTTTTTGTAAGGTACACCTATGTCTTTCAACCATGTGTTCTAGTCATTCAAGTTATTCCGAATTTTTGAGGCTCTCAAAAAAAGTTGGATTAACCAATAGAGTGTTCAATAGAAAGGGCCTAAACAAATGGGTAATTGTCACCCCTACTATTATTAGATCCCATTTTTCTTGCGCCCTAATAGTCTTCTTAGCTCTGTTTTTGGGTTCCTTTTTCTCCCGACCCCTTAGTTTCTTCTTCCCATTCTTGCCATTAATGCTAATGAAATTTTCTGAAAGATAGTTAGATCTTTCATTAGTATCTTATATAAATGGTTTTGCTAGCTTGAGGTCTTTAAGAAGACATGATCACCCATAACAAACTCGAAACCTTTCTTGCAAGAGTTTCCATAAGTATTTTGCCAACTCTATACCGTCAGAATCTTCTATGCATATGCACTAGTAACCTAATAAACTCCGCCCTAGTTGTTGATTATCTACCTATTCCAAGAGAATAGAAGACTGACACATATGCCCATTAAATGTAACCTTTATTCATAACAACAAAAGAATAGAAAAACGTAAGTGCTTCAGCTTCTTATGTTCTAAGAAAGTCTCCCCTCATGTTGTTCTTTCTATTTCATTTATTTGTTTTGGTACATTTTGCTTTCTGTAAACTTTTCTAGAGTGTGAGGTAAATCTTGTATCTTGAGCTGATACCATGAATATTTGAATACCATGTAAATAAACTATCTCCTTAACATATAATTGGACTCATTTATCTATTAGGTGGGTGGCTTTAATATCAATCTGTCATGACTCGATTTCTTACTTTAAGAATCACGGATTGCAACGTGGATTGACAAATTGATCACAAAAAGTACAATAAATTTTTTTCTCAAGTTTAAAAATAACATAACATTTAAAAGATTGAAAACAAAAATATTTACAAATTGAAGGTAGTGTTTGAAAGTTTTATTACAAAGTCATGGGACTAGGGAACGAGATAAAAACCAAATAATAACACATATACAAAAGAGCTAACACCTAGTAAGCTACCACTAGCTTTAATCTAGGATATAAGAAATTCAAGCCTAAGTTATACAACCATATGAACTTATAGAAGATCCTTAAGTTCTTGAGGTGATTCTTATGCACGTCATAAACCCAATCATGGTTTGCAAGTTGTGCACCCTTTCAGGCACCACATGATCTCCTTAAGAACTTAAATCATCTTTTCTATTCTTCTTACTTAGCTAGCGTATATTGAATTGAAAATGAATCATCGGTATCCTTAATCTAGAAGAGCAACCCTATATAGAACTACTAAGTGTACCTATGTGTTGTATGAATAACACGTACCCTATAGCCCCTATGTGTCATATTTTATGATACTATTGTGTGTTATGTACGATATGATATGTGATGATTATGCTATGGCATGAATTACGTTAAGATACGAATGTTATATGATGCATATACTTCCATATGTAATGCCATGTATATCATGATAGTATGTTCAAATTATGCCTATGAAACATTGATAAGTCATGAACCATGATAGATATGTCGAATATACATATGCATGTCTCATAGAAATATAAAGTCATGAAAAGAATAAAAATATAATTTGCATCATAAGTATGTACCACGATTTGAAACTATGGGACCTCAAGCATGTTGTATTTCACGAGCATTGAGATATCTAGTATGATTAATACAGACACGTACACTATGATATGGAAAAGCACTCTTTTGCCTCTTTGGCTTTCAGCAACGTGAGCTAGCTTGTAGTTAGACCCAGGTGGTATATATACGAGCCCACTTGGTGAGGCCATCTATGTGCGTGTACGTGAACCATGTATAGAGAATTACTACACATCCAACTCTGCCCTGAATAGAAAGTAGCGCCCAAAGAAGAATAGGTGAAAAGATAGGTCCCACCATGATTTCATACGATTGCATTTTTTCGACTCCAACAGTAGAGCTATTATTAAGTATTTTTAAATAAAGCCACATTTTTCATATTTTTCGAGATAAAGGTAAGACACCTGTGTGTACGGACGATGACATCGAAATCAGGGAAATAAATTAAAATGTCTAACAAATTAAAGTATGATTTGTAATTTTAATTTGATCGTTAGATTAATATAAAATTTAACTATTGTGTGATGTGTAGGGAAAAGTAATGGTTTTTCCTTTAGTGGGACATACTTTATGGTGTGGTCATCATCACCTATTTGATAAAGCGACCAACCATAACTTTTGGCGAAGAAACAAAAAGACTATGAAAAAAAATGTTGAGTACTTTATAACACTTTTGATTATTCAAATATCTTTAATAATTTACTTTACCCAAGATTAACTTTTGCTAAACAAGATTAGCCCATTAAAATGTTGTGTTTATATGAATTAATAATTCGATTAATCTTGAATATCTAACTCAAGCTATAAAAGTTGGGTTTGTTAGATTTTTTTTATCCCAATTTCAATTGGTTGAACTTTTAAAAAACTGAAAATTCGATTTGATTGCAGGTTCACGTTTTTTTGTCGGGCATGAAAAAAGGGTTACAATCAAATCCAACCCAATCAAACCTTACCCTACATTTGTTACCGATGGGTTGAATTTAATACCGAGTTCACATTTGTTACCAATGTTAATGATGTGTTGTGTTTTGTAAATGTTCGATATTTAAATTTTATGAGATTTCAGTTATTAATATAATATAATAGTAAAAAAAAAAGGTAGGATTTAAAGAAAAAATAATAAAACAATAATTATGTTATTAGTGATCGGCCGCCATGTGTGGGACCATTTATGATAATAATTGCTAGCAACCCCTCTAGTTATGGTTGAGAATGGTGGATGGGTCATAATGTTTTAAATATAAATATAAATTTATTAATTTATAATGCTTAATACTTGTCCCTTAAAATAACCTTCCATCTCAAAAAAAAATAAAAAATTAAATAGTAAAATATTTCTAAATTAATAGAAAATATTGTTGGAGGTTGAAAGTCCAACTTCCGACTCATTTAGAGAATGATTATAGGTTTATAATTAAAGAATACTATCTACGTTAGTACAAGGTCTTTTGGGTAAGCCCAAAGCAAAGGTATGAGAACTATGTTCAAAGTGGACAATATCATACCATTGTGGAGAGTTGTGTTCATCTAACATAGTATCAAAGTCATGCTCTAAACTTAGTTATGTCAATAGAATCCTCAGATGTCGAATAAAAGTATTGTGAGCCTCGAAAGTATAGTAAAAAAATGACTAAAAAATTAAGGGGAGGTGTACTTCGTTCTAGAAGAGGTGTTGGATGATGAAAGTCCCACATGGACTAATTTAGGGAATGATCATGGGTTTATGGGTTTATAATCGATGAATACTATCTCCATTAGTATGAGGCCGCCATGAGAGCTTGTCCACGCTCAAAGTGGACACTATCTTTAAAATCATGATTATTAAGAAATTTAAATTAATAAGTTACGATATATTTAATCACGACATGGTAGAGATCGATCTAGATCGAACACGGGAGACAAGATGGAAGAAAAAAAAAACTCTAAGTTGCCAGAATTGCCCCATGATAAGATTCTCCAACCGGCTCCCAACTCTCGTGCTATGACCTTGCCTTTATCTGAAAATCATTTTAAGAATAAGGCTGAGTATTAAAAATATTCATTAAGATATTCTCCTATTAAGGTTAGATATGCAAACTATTATACCGTTCAACAATTGAAATCGAGTAACCCTTGTGGTTGATTGCTGAAAACACACCGCTTATAATCACTCACCAAAAATAATTTTCAATCACTCCTCAGTGATCATTAGTGGTTACCTGCTCGATATACACAACATATAACCCTTACCACAAAAATAATTATCAACAATCACTTAATGTGACCATTAACGGCCGGTTACTCGATACACATAATGTGTAACTTTTACCACACTCATTGCATTAAAAAATCATAAGATGCATATACACCGTCTCAAAACATATATTTTTCATGACCAATAAAGCATGACAGGAAACAATATAAAACAATGCAGTAACAAACATATCAAACCGTATTTAGAAAAGCAAAACGGTTTAGTTTCAATAGGAACGTCTTTTATCTAGAGTTTTCCCTATAACAATCCCTATATGTCGGTCCTATTTTCACTTTCCCAACCCTTCCCTTTATTTGGTTTGACTATGGTCTCATAGAATCTCAAAATTAGTCTCTCCTTAATCAATGTTCGACTCCTTCTCTGAAGTACTCGAACAAATTACACCATTTGTTCGATACATGAATCACTTTTGACTACACCTTCGAGGCTCACAACTTCTTTGTTTGATATTTGAGAATTTTACTGTCATAACTAAGTTAAGGGCATGACTCTGATACCATGTTAAGAATCACGGACCTATACAATGACATGATATTGTCTACTCTGAGCATAAGTGGCTTTGCTTTAGACTTCCTCAAAAGGTCTCGTACTCGTACCAATAGAGATAGAGATGTATTCCTTACTTATAAACTCACGATTATTCTCTAAATTAGCGAACGTGGGCTCCCTCCTAACAATTCTCAACCGTGAAAAAAATTAGAATGCAAGATTCCAAAGGAAATGAGAAATTTTACATCTTAATAACCAAAATACATTGCCTTTAATGACAGAGGGAGGTAGGAAAAAGAGGAATCAGATCGGATGACATATCTAACAAACACAATACACGGCGGAGCCCCGGCGAACCGGAGGATCGGAGCTCTAGCTAGTCTTTGTTCCTGGAAGACGAACCGGCGGCGCTGGTAGCTGCCTTTATGATGCCGCTCAGAACTCCGCCCCTCGGCTGTGGATATTTGGGCGAATAAAACGGGCCTGGGTACACGCTCCGATCGCCGGAGTTCTTTCCGCCGCCACTTTTCTCTTTTCCCGTTTGCCTCTCACCTCCCTGATTCATCGCGTTTCGATTTTGGATGAAAGAAAATGAGCTGGGGGATTAAATAATTGGGCCGTTCATTAGGTGAAATTGTAGTTACCTCACAGTCCAATGATCCAGTGACGCGTGTACAAAAATGACGCTCTTGGTTGGCCCCGTATGACGTGTGTGTTGTCAGTGATCCAGTAGGTTAGTGAACCCCGAGTTTGATGTATATGTGTGTTTTTTTTTTTTCTTTTTATTTCTTTTAGAATATTCAATATTATTATTATTATTTTAAAAATATTAAAATAATCTAGCTGGCCCTATTGTGAGGATATGATTGTTGGCCAAGTTGGATAAGGTTCAATACTAAAAATTGACACGTTTTATCCATAATAAGAGTTTTAAATAATTTGTTGATGAAAATTAGAAGATGATTAAGATTTTCATAGAGATCGAAACTCGAGTGCCAAATTTGCAAGTGAATCGAGGGAGTTGGAGCAAATTATCTTACGGACTTGATTTAAATAGGTTGTAGAAGAGTGTTAGGAAACCAATTTGGAAGATATATCATTTAGGAATCTAATTGTGTCTTTCGTTCCAAATTGAGTAAATTTTTTGGTTTTCGGTTAAACTCTCTTCGATTAGCTGACCATTCTGGATTAAACTTATATAAGTCGATTCATTTTGATGTTATGAGTGGAACTGTTGAAGAGATCATGATCAATCGACGACGATCAATGGAGCTGAAAACAAACCAAACGTGTATATTAATTGAAGGTGGACCAGTTCAAGAACCCGTTTACGGTTGATTGGCTTGTTGTGGGGCTATTTTGATTCATTTTGTTAATTAATTTGGATTGTATTAATAAAAATTTCTTTGTTAAGAAAATGACCTAAAATTGGGATTGTATTAATAAAAATTTCTTTGGAACAAAAGGGCAAAATTGTTAAGAAAATGACCTAAAATTGAGGTAAGCAACATGTCATAAATATTTTCAAAAATTGGATTGATATGATTCAAATCCACCCTCAAGTTGACTCGTATTTTCAAATTATGACTTTATCGTTACAAAACGTTAGGGCCATATTGTCCTCCTGCCCTGGTCACATTGCCAAATTTTTTTGGAAACATGATTAAGACCATATCGTCACGAAATATTATGGGCCATATTACCACGTTTTTCTAAGTTTTATTTATTATGGATAGATACATGCATCAAGTTTTGTTAACTGTACATGATAAAAATTGTTTTGATCATTTACGATGATTTTTTATGACTATCATCATTTCACCAAAATCATGACGTGAATCACATACATGCATCATAAAAACACCACAATACTACTAGAGTTTCATAATCATAACACTCATCATACTCATAAAGAATTTCATAAAATTATAACTATATTGTCACGTCTAATAAAGAATTTCATAGAATTGTGGCTATATTACACCAACATCAGGACCATATCGTTACCTCTTTGTATTCTAATTATCATGGCTGGTAAACACACACATTTGCCACGGGTTTATATGGAAGAATAATGAAGATAAGGAGCTGGTCTTGGTGAGGGAAGAACTTCAGGAATTGTTCATGCGTTATGTGTCAAACCAAGAAAACTAAGAACATCCGGAATCGCTCATGAGATAAGATACATTGTTTAGAAAATCTACGGCACTAGAAATGAGTGAACCACCACCAAACTCAGAAGGGGTTTGGGAACAAGAAAAGAGTCGTTCAGAACTTCGAGACATTGCCAAAACTCAGATAGTGTTAAAACTAGGCTCGAACTTTCTAAAGCCTAGAGAAGAAGTTTGTGGTAACTTACTAGGTTAAAAATATACTGAGAGCTTACAAGTAGATGGGTTAACGAGTATTTTTGTACTTACCCATTTCCTCATTTCTTTTTCGTGTTATTCCAGAGGTTTTTCTTATTCGGTTTGAAATTGTATTCCAAACCTATTTTACGTTTATAATAAATTCGAACAATATCAACTTATAACTATATTTCGTTTTATTTTTAATTGTGGAAATTTTACCAAATTTTTATTAATTTATTTATTTATTTATTTATTTTGGTTTTTGTCTTTTTAATTATGGTTGGAGATTTAAAACATCGAAAATAGAGAAGCACCAAATTGGAGACCAAGGTTTGAAGTATGAAAGCTAAACGTGGGAGGCAGCTGGAAGATTAGTTGAATTCAAAAGTTGGAAACAAGACATTGGTGTGTCTCTTGTGTCGATTATTCGTTGACCAATTCCATTTTTGAGAAAGAGGAGCCGCCATGAAATGTCATCCATATTATGTTGAGGATTATTGGGATTGGGAGTGTCCCACATTGGTTAATTTAGTGGAAGATCATGGGTTTATAAGTGAGGAATACTATCTTCATTGGTATGAGGCCTTTTGGGGAAGCCCAAAGCAAAGCCATGAGAGCTTATGCTCAAAGTGGACAATATCATACCATTGTGGAGAGTCGTGATTCCTAACATATTATTCCCTACATCTATTATCGTACCTATGATTGACCTTACGCTCTACTTTCATTTTCATCGGCCGCTTCTATATCATAGAGTCTGTAAACTTTTGACTCTTCACTAGCTCTCAGCAAAACATAACTCAAACTCTTATCATCTAGCTTAGTTCTCCGAGCTGCCTCCTCTTTTTGTTTCTGAATCAACTCGAGCTCACAATATTGTTCTTCTTCTTTATGCTGCAGCTCCAGAACTAATCGTCACTGAGCTTTTTTTTTACTGAGCTTGTTCTTCTTTTTGTCTTGTATCAGTAAGAGCGGCTTCTTTCTCTTTCTCAAGCTGCACATCAACATCATCAAACAACTTCTTGCGATCTTCCTCTATTCGCCTCTGTATTTCTAATTTAGTCTCTTCAGAGTTTAGCCTTTCTTCAACATTCTTCTGAATTAGTTCTTCCATCCTCCTAGCTGCATCTTCTTCTAACTTCTTCAACTCTACTTCACGCTTTTTCTTCTCTTCTTCCTCTTTCTTAAGCTTCTTTTTGCGTTGGTGGCTGAGGGAACTTGAACGGCTGCTTCTCCTGGAACGGGTAGTGGAATGATAGGGGGAAGGACTTGTGTCCCTTCTGCTTCTCCGACTATGGCGATAGGAATTGGAGCGGTGAGTGTACGACAGAGACCTTGAACCACTTCTCCCCATAAGTTTCAATTGAGTTTGAACAGCTGCTACAGGCTGAGATATAGCATGCAATACGAACATTCGATTCAAAGACATCTTTGTCTCCATGATTAAGCCTCTCTCAGGATGAAACACCTTGCATGTTCCATTTTGAAACAAAATGCTAAGCCCATTTGCTTGCAATTTCCCAATACTCATCAGATTGTTCTTTAGCTTTGGCACATAGAACACTCCTGTGATTATCAGTATGATTCCATTCACTTGGAGCCGTACATTACCCTTTCCCATTACATCCATGCTTGAGTTGTTGCCCAGCTTCACTGAATCTCTGAAACTTCCATCAAAATCTGAAAAAATATTTCTTTTTCCCACACATATGATTGCTACGTCTCGAGTCAAGAAACCACATATCTTCTCTATTGGCCTTATTCATATTCACGTAAGCCATCAGCGACATCTCTTCTTGAGTCTCGCATAGTTTGTCTCCTTCTCCTTGCTTTGACATTCCCATTGAAAATGTCCTAGCTTGTGACAGTTATAGCACTCCATTGTGGCCTTGTTGAAGTTTGTCTACCTCGTCTGGTATTGCTTTGACATTCCCATTGAAAATGTCCTAGCTTGTGACAGTTATAGCACTCCACTATGGCATTGTTGAAAGTTTGTCTGCCTCGTCCCCTTCCTCTACCTCTAAAGCTTCCACAACCTTGACTCCTTCCTCCAGCAGACTGCACAAATGGACTCTCCATCGACATACTTTTATTATGACACACGTAGAAGACTGTTGCTTCTAGTAGTTTAGGGCATGGCTCTGATACCAAATGTTAGGAACAGAAAAAGAAAACTAGAA